ATTCATTTGTTTCCCGGGTCTGTCACTGGTGCTGCCGCCCTTTTCCGCTGGCCATGTAGCATTTCTATGCATTTGTCTCCCATGTGATTTCTTCCTTTTTGTCTTTCAGGCTTGGTGCCTGCACTGCTGTTTTCTGCCCTGTCCGCTGGAACAGGTTCGCCTGTGAAAGGCTTTTGCTCCTTTGAAAGGGGTGCGTGACTGTCTCCGGGATTGCATTCCTGCCGCACTGTGTAACTCTCTCAGCTCTGTTTTCCTTTTCAGGCAAGCGTTGGATGAATGACCGGATTGGATTTCGGCGGCGTGGCAGCGATCTCTCTGTTCAGTTGGGACGGCATACGTCAGTCACCAAAAATCAATTTCATGTCACATCCTTCGCTCCTCACGCTTCCATTTCTTGTCCTCACGTGGTCAGCTCCCCGCTGATTGAGCAGCATGACCAGCATCATGTTCGCACTTGAAGAATAATTCCCCAAAAGGTTTACTGTTAGGGCTTCTCAATTCTTTCTTAAGATGTGTCCGCCCGCTCTGTACTGCTGTGTCCGTCTCTGCCTTGCAATCCACTTACATTTGTCTCCCAGCTCTGGGCTGCTGTTGCCGCCTCTGCCTTGCAATCCTTTGCCTCCAGCTCCGGACGTCGCAAGCTCTAGTTTCGACTTTGAACAACACAAACTGTTTGGGGTCTACGGTGGTGTAATTATCAGCAAGTGTTTTGAGTTGAGTGGCTCATACTGTTGCATCGACTCATTTGGCACCGATGTGGTGAGATGCTTTGGGCACAGTAAAATGAGCCGATGATCATGTATAGGACGTAGAGACTTTAGTGCTTCGGTGTATGAATGACTGGAGCTCATTGCTTGGTTGTCGGCCTTTGACCTTGTTATTGGAGCAGTTTCCTTCCAAACCGCAGGAGGAGATGAACACCGCAGAGCAAGCGCTCAACAGAACAAGGTTTGAAGCTTCGGGTGTGAACTTTGCAAGCTCTGTGATGCAAAGTCTTTGCATCCCAATCTTGAGAACTATCAGTGGTGTAGCACCCAAGAGTGTTTCCGAAGGGGCTCGGTGCAGATTCATCGGCAACGCTTGGAGCTTGTCCAGAAATCGATGGAGGAGCTGCAGGCATGAAGACGATAGAACAGCTTTGGTCAGTTGCCTTTCACTTTTTTCTGTGTGCTTGCTGGGAGGCAAAAAGTAAGATTCTCGTGGCCGACTTTGCGACTGCAGAAAACAATATTGCAAGACAGTCCACCGATTTGAGGAGATGTTTGCAGTGACTGCTCAAGACACTCTTACAACTTACAACATAATGTTGACAGAACATTTTGCCAAGTAAGAAGTAAGACGGTCAAGGACACTGCAAGAACTGGCCAGAGTGGATGATGCTGACGTTGCCAAGGTGGGTACATCCTCCAGGTTGTTGTTATTCTTTGCTTGCTCCACAAGCCTGCGGTTTAAGTTGAATGATGGATCGAGTTCATGTGTGCCGGCTGCGTAGTTGCACGCACCTGCCTTTTGAATTCTTGCTGAGGCAGCTCAGGCCTTGGTGGAGGCTGAGGCGGACGTAACAAATGCGAAAGCGGCCTACGTGGGCAGTTTGTCGACCGCAGATGGAGAGACAATAATCAACAATAGACCGTATGAGGATGATTGGTGTTGGGAAGCGTATTAAGGCACTTTAGCTGATGCTCGTCGCCAATGTCAGCCCACGGAGCAGGAGTACCAGGCAAACTGCTTCGACAAAGAGCGTTCAACTTCCAACTGTTTGATGGGGCAATCTTGGAATGTGAGAAGAGTTTTGAGCAATTACAGTCTTGCAACCCAGCTGTTCTGGAATGAACAATATGACAATATGCAAATACATGTGTCTAGATAGTTACTTATTAGAAGGAAACTTTGATTGGGAGTCAACAAACTACACGCATCAGGCTGTTACCGCTGTGCCAATGCATTTTCTACATGACACCTTGCTGGTATTTTTTTCTGAAACAGTTGACAGTTGCATTAAATTCTGAGTGTCCAACGCAACGCCCGGTTCGTCACAATGCAGCATGGAAGGAAAGCTGTTTTTTGTGGGTAGCATCCAAGCGGAATGGGACAACAGAGGTAAAGAGGGAAGAGAATCGGTTGGAGGGCTGGAGGCCATTCCTATTTGGTTGGAGGCCATCGCTATTACTTCTTATCAGGGTGACAAACATCGCACTCACTCCATGGGAGTTCCCGGCATTTGCACTGGTGAAATCTCGACTCATCGCCCAGGGTAGATAAGCTAGAACTGACAAGATATTGCTGCTTTTGTAAGGTACGAATGAAGCCAGTTCATTTAGTGGAGTCTTTTCCAGATTGCCTAGTGTTCTTGTCGTTGGGTAGTGGACTGTGGGATTGCGTATTCGTTTCCAACCTGAAGCCTTAAAACCTGCTAGTTCAACGAACCCTTCACCACAGATCAAGTGGAGCTGCAAAGATGTAAAGAGCAAAGAGGTGTAGACTCTGCAGTATTGGGTTGAAATTGCAAGCCCCGGAAGTGCTTTTCAGCGATCCTTGGGAATGAGTGGATGCCCCTCCCCGAAAAAGAAAGCAAGCCACCAAGCAGACAAGCAAATCCGACCAATAAAGGACAGCCAGTAAAGCCAATGACGACAAATGCAGACAAAGTGCTCAAGCATTGGAGCAAGTGTGATCAAATATAGGTTTGCATTGTTCTGCGCATCACCATAGTACGGTAACTGGGCATTGCCCTGTCGTTGTCTTTGTCAAGCTACATGACAGTTTTGACATGTGGGCATTGGCTGTACAGGTGCAGAAATGACTTTCTTGTAGCTGCAAAGTCATTGGCACAGAAGCACAGGTGTATCTTCACTTCCGGGAACTTGTGAGCTTGGCAAAGCACATCGTGGTGTGTGCCTTATGCCTAACACACTTATGCTTCCGATTCCAAAGCTCTTTCGGTCCAGGTGCAACGACTCCTTGCTCTTCAATTGGCAGACCAATTCTGGGTGACACAAGATCACATTTTCCGAGACGCTCAGGCAAATGCGGAGTTGTTCGAGTGTGTTGTTCGATTCTTTTTGCGACCAAGAAGCCTTGCTACCATTCTCAATTGTCTACTATTTTTGAGGCTGCTCATGAAACTGTCCTTGATGACCTTGCAGATGGTGCCGCTGAATTACATGAACGATCAGTCGTGCTGGCAGCTGCAGACACTTATTCTTCTAGTGCGGAGGACCGATTTCAAGACAGGGCGGACAGCAGACGAATAGTGCTATTTTTCTAGAATGAGGGCGTTGCACTTGGATCGAAATATATAGCCACATCTTACAGGAGTCCTAGATTTGCACCAGGAAAAATCTATGCTTTCTCCATGAAGGGAATAACTCATACACAAATACACACCTGGTCTAAGCATCCATACCCATGTATATGAACTTTGGCCTCCTTGCATTTAACTGGGAAACATCAACTTGTTTTGAACACACAATCTCTCCAGGAGCCTGTTCAGATTGTTTGGATGTTTCGAGGATTTTCAGTTATATAGCTGCCACATCCTAATCTTGCCCGCATTTTGGCCTTTATTCCACTCAAATTGTACTGTAATTACAACTAGACGCCTTTGCTCATCTCATTCGGTATGCCTCAAATTTGCTAGCATCCATGTATCTACATCGAACTTTCATCTGTAATTTTGCAATGTAGGTGTGAAAACAGCGTTTCAAAACCCTTGTTTGACGAATACATGCCCCCTATTGTCACCTGCTTTTTCTTCACATATATTCCATGGTGGTTTGGTGGCTTTGTAGCGCCAATCTTCTCAATTCTTCTCCGATTCTCTGGCGGGAGCTTCTTCGAGTAGTGAGCTGCCAGGGTTCCAGTAATCAAGGTTCGGATCACCTGACCAATGTCCCAAGGGCGAGCCTTTGCCAACGCCAATTTTTGCTGCGCAAGTTTGTCCCCTCCGCGTGGGCCAAAAAAGCAGGCTTCATTGCTTTTGCCCCAACCGACCGCGTTAAAAAGACTTCGCATCCTTTGCAGTATTTTGTACTGAGAGGTATACAGGCAAAAGACAATGACATCACTTTCTTTAGTGATTGCTACCCTGCCTTGGGGGAAAGGCTCTGCGGAAAGTCGTCTCTTTTTCCCAAACACAAGCGAAGTCTGTTGGTTGGAAAGGGACCTACTTTTAGGTTGTATGCTGGGGCTCTCATCGAAAGGTGTTTTAACGCTGTACTGGCAACTCATAAGGGGTTAACTAATAATGCCTGCTGAAGCAATGAGTCTCTTATTCTGTAGTCACTGTAGTGGGTCCTGCAAGCAGTCCACAAGGAATTTTCTACATACATGCGAGACAAGTACAGGAAGCAACACAGGCATTTCCAGGCTTAATGGAACGCCTGTGGACTTGGACAGATTACGCAAAGATAGCGAGAGCTACTGGGAGAGCTAGTGGGGTTCTTATTTCCAGTATAGGAAGAGGTGCCCTCGTTTCAGGGTGTTGCTGCCAGATGTTTGTGGTACTTGTTGCTCGGGTTAACTTGTCTCGAGTGGCAAGAACTTGTGCCAGATGAGGTGTGTTTTGCGCTAAAGCTTGATTGGTCTACCTTTCTGTATGGGCTACCTTTGTGCAGTTTTGGACCTCGCCTGGATCTCGCCCAGAGCCATCATCCTCCTGCTGCGGCTGTTCGTGTGCTGCTGCTGGTGTTCTGCTGCTTGTGTGCTGCTGCCATTGCTTGGCTGCTTTCCAGAATTTCTGCAGCGTTCCATTTGGACTGACACGCAGGAAGCGGATGTAAATCAATCAAACCCACACTCCTTCAGAACTAGCGTTCCATTGGTCTTTGCACTCTTTGGGTCGGTCATTCAGGTGACAAACCTGAATGCCCAACCCTTGCCTAGCAAATATAGCCGTTGGCCGTAATTATCATTCATTTTCTTGCATAATTTTTGCAGCCCCGTTTCCTTTCTTGAAAAGTCTTATTGGTAGTTAGCCCCTTGTCCTTACCTCATGCTGATCAAATGGTTAACATCGACAATTACAAACTGGCAGTAAAGCAATTGAATTTGCGGAGAAAGAGCTAGGAACGAAGAGGAAGACACATATCAATAGTGCAAAATAGGACTTCAGGGTTCGAAGAGCGCCAAAAAAAAGGTGCAGCTAAGAACTGAGGTTGCCAAACAAAGTAAACCTGTACACACACTTTATGTGCGTGACAGTTTGCTCCAAAAGAGTTTGCGGCGATGACGCGCTGATACAGGGTGAGGCCTTCGCAAAATCAAGGAAGGATGAAATGCTTGAAGAAAAGAACAGTGCTTTGCAAGGAGGACACTTTTGTAAGGATAAGGTGTGGTTAAAGGATGAGACTCTTGGAGTGAAGGAATGATGCCTTGTTAAAAAAATCCATTTGCACTGACATTATTCCAATCATTTCTCCCACCCACAAAAACTTTTGAGGTCACTGTGCACATTGATACCCAAAGACCGCTTCAGTTGTGCTTCTTGCAGTTTGCTGCTCATGTGCGGTGTTTTGCCTGGCGACTCGACGTCGCTACTTTAATAACCGCAACCAAAATATGTGTCAGCGCTGACGTTCAGTTGGTGCACTGTGCTGTTTTGGACGCTGAAAGCCAGCAGCGCAGAGGCTCAGCAGGGAGCGGGCGCTTAACTGCCGTACCAGATCTCACCTCACGAAGTTCAGTGTACCTTGATTGTGCATTGAGGAGTCTGCTTTTCCGAACGGTCATTATACAACAACAGAGCCCTCGCAAGAAAACCAAAGAGCTCGTACCTGTCGCCTCTCTATACTCGAAGGACTTGTATCTGGCGCTAGCTGTGGCCTCGAACCTGATAGCTATACCGCCGGCGGTACATGGCCTCAAAAGAACTAGCGATGCCTCCAACTATGGTTGCAAGCTACTAGCTATGGCCTCTAACCTATTAGCTATGGCCTCCAACCTTTAAAAGCCCTTCGCCCTAAGAACCCTAATATAACCCTTCAAGAATCCTTAATCCTAAGAGCCCTCCAAACACCTTCAACCCCAACCCTTAACCCTAAGAACCTTTAAGGTCAGCAAACCTCAGCCCCAAAAATTACGTGAAAATAACTTCTTTGCATCTAAATGACACGAAAAACTCAGCCAACCGTTTAGCGCCTCAAAAACTTCACCCTAAGGGCCATTCACCCTAAGAACGCTTAACCCAAAGAACCCTCGACCCTAAGAGCCCTTAACCCTAAACCCTAAGAACCCTTCACCCTAAGAACTCTTTTAAGCCTTTTGCCTACTAGCTATGGCCTCTAACCTACTAGCTTCAACCGTAGCAAAAATATGTATGTCAGTGCCGATGTTCAGTTGGTGGTGCGCTGTGTTGTTTTTGATGCTGAAAGCGAGCAGCGCAGAGGCCCAGCAGGGAGTGGGCGCTTAACTGCCATACCAGATCTCACCTCACGAAGTTCTCTACTGGGAAAAAGGAAGGGCACCGTTTTCTGTCTTACAGCGCTAGGCTAACGCCCAAAGCTCGCTGTTTGCGCAGAGGTGAGTGCTTGCGCGCATGTCTAACATACACTGTACCTTGATCCTGCATTGAGGCGCCAACGGGCCACCAAAAATACCGCGTTTTGTAGGTTGCTTTTCCGAAAGGTCTGTGAATTTCCTCATCCATGTTCACTGTCTTGATGTTTTGTCTTGCCAGCAAAATGCAGTTTGAGCTTGAGAAAAGCATGTTGCTCTGAGTTCTGCGCAAGGGGCTTGCTTTTTGAAGTTTTAAAGGAGACGCCGCCACATGAACTTGTCGCCCAACTCAAGTGTTTAGTGCAAAAGCGGTTGACAGGGTGCGGCAAGAGGCATAGCCGTAAAGATTCAGGTGTGTGGTGATAATTTACAATGCAAGGCAATTCATGATATATACAACCCAACTCACACCATGTTGTCGCTGCGTGCCTGTGCTGCTTCTTGGGGCTTCTTCACGGCGACAGGCGCGAGATCTGTGAGTATAAAGAGGGTTCAGAGCACCGCGCGCAGCGACCGCGCACAGGCGCGAGTTCTGTGTGTGTAGAGCGGGTCCAGAAGCCGGCGACAGGCAAAGAGGCTCCAGAGTACCCGTTGCGAACGGCGACAGATACCGGAAGCCGCGGAGGCACCGGCGACGATGGTGACGGTATTCCAGAAGTCGGGCAGGCGCGCGGAGACCACGCTGACAGGTACGGTGCGAGTTCTGTGAGCGCAGAAAGGCTTTGGGGGCCGCGCGGGTACGCGGCGACCACAGCAGCAGGCACGAGTTCTGTGGGTATAGGAAGGCCTCAGAGGCCGCACACGCACGCGGCGACCATGGCCACAGGCACGCGGTCTGGGAGTATATAGAGGCTCCAGAAGCCACGCAGGCGCGCGGCGACCACGATGACAGATACGAGCTCTGTGAGCCAGAAGCCGCGCATCCCGCTGAGCCGCCCACGCAATATCCGCTATTCTGGGTCAAACAAGCGGTCGGAAGGGTGGAAGCAGCCACTTGGATGCCAGATCACTGGTGGAAACTGCGAAGCGTGGCAGGGACTGCTTGGAACCCTCAGCATCCCAAGCGCCACCCCGCCAGGCGTAAGCTAGGCGGGTTGGCGGCCACATTACAATATATTACAATAATAAGAGTCATGCTTCCTACTGGCACTGGTTGTGGGTTAAAAGCTGGTCTGGATCAGGATCAAGAGCAGGCCTTTCTAGAAGCACAAAGCCACTTCATCAAGAGCCAGGAGAATGTTGTAAGCTTTTCTCCGCGCTGCAGCAGAAGCGCTTTTGCAAAGCCAGCGCACTCCAGGAGAAAGTAGATGAAGTCTTGGCATTGAGACGCAAGGTGGGATGGAGAAAGGGGGTCTTCTTCAAGCCTTCTCAACGTGAGACCTGCACCTTATAGATTACAAATAGATGTTGGAAGAGCAATATTGTGGTGTTGAACTGACATCCAACACTATACCATTTTTTAACATCTTCAAGTCCAGCTTCTAGCTGTTTCTGGGGTGTAGTTTCTTGACTGCTGTCGTTTTTTGTCCAACATGGGCTGAGTAATTGTTCCTCATTGACGGCTAGAATTTGGTCATTGACCGTTGGTTGCCGAGCTTGTGGTGGCGACAGCCCAAAGCAGAAAATGATGCACTCCCGATGAGGCTGACTTCGCCGCATCTCACCAATTGAGTGTGTACGGCAAAGCTGCAGAAAATCTGGATCTTGCCAAAAAACATCTCCACAACAGGAGCGGTGAAGTTGGCTTGCCATTGCCACCAAACCTCGACCTTTTGTTTGGTTGTCAGTGGTGTAACCAAAAACTTTTGGAATCTCCTGTTTCAGACAACATGCCAATGTGTGAAACTTCAATGCTCCATTGAGGAGAATGGCATTGGAGGGAGCAACCAATCAGACAGATCAACTGGAAAAGGTCAGAGCCTAAGGGCACGGTCAGAACGAAGCAAGGCTATATAGGCACTTGTTTCAAAAGGTTGTCAACCTCTTCACGAAAGTTAGCAAGGAAAGGGTTCTCGACCAAGTTGCTCTCTGAACGAACTTTTTGGACGTTCTCTGGAGATGTCTGTCTTGGGATCCCTGCGATGGTTTCTCTTGGTGGCCGGTGGGGGTCGACTTTTCGTATGCCACGCAGTCCCAAGTTTACATGTGATCCAGGCAGAGGCTTCCACAGAGAAACGATACCAATTCACTACAAAAGGGAACACTGGATTCGATTTGCATTGTTTTTCATGTTTCCTGCTTGAAGTTACTTTGGTTGGTGGCTGCGTTTGGCTTCACTTGTCAAAACACATTTGACAGGCTTGCAGCCCAATGCGAATGAGTTATCGTGAATTTCACGCTCGTATCAGGACCTCCTAGCTGCCATTCAAGCTGAAGCGATGGCAAACGAGTCTTTGAGGGCAACGAAGGCTCAATTTAGGCAGCGTTGCTCAAGATTTGCTTTGGGCATCCTTCTTTCGAGGTGTGGCAGAAGGAGTTCAACGCCTCTTTGCAGCTTGAGAGGATTCAAAAAAGTCAATGTCAACTCCTGTTGCTGATTGAGCATTCTGCAATGTCCCCTTCGAAGGAAAGAAGAAACTCTAGTTGAAGCCAAGCATGAAGAGGACAAAAAAGCTGCCGCAAAGGTCGGTCTGATGTCATGTTTGGCCGTGTCTTTTTCTTGTTGGTTTCTGAGCGTGGAGGCCGAAGTATCCAAACATGAAGCGCGGATGCGGACATTGTTGGAGACACATAAGCGGCACTTGGCACTTCTTGATACTCAGGTAGGGTGTGGAGGAACACGCAGGAAGGCAGCGTCACAGGATGCTTTGACTGCCAGTGAAACCATGTCATGAACGCTGTTTTATTGCTGCATCTACAAAGCATTTAAAAATAGACATGGTCAGACCCACCCAAAAACAGCCAATCCATCCTTGGCGGATGCAGTCTTGATGAGCCGTAAGGTTCTTTTGCAACGCTTTTGCCTCATTTGCCAGAGTACAATATTTAAAGATATTTAAAGTACAGAAGCAGGAAATCCTTGTCCTTTTCACAGCGAACGAATGAACTCTCTCGGAAAAGTCATTGAATCAACCAATCTGAATGCACTAAATGCACCCTCAAGGCAGTGTGGTTCATGGCGTATAAATTTGATAGGCTCTCTCGCAGGTCGAGCTTCCCCAAAAAGACAAAGCAAAAGCTGAGGCACCAGCGGACGAGCTCCAGAGAGTTCCTGACAGTGTGACTTTGTCAATTTTTCTGTAGTATATAATAGGCCAAGATTGCTTTCGACGCAGCTGAAAAAAACGTCGTGGAGGCGCAGGTGCAGCCGGGATTCATCAGCTGCAAATTTTCATGTTGCTTGGGAGATACTACTTTTAACGCACAAAGTTTCCTGCCAGTCAAAGCTGGACGGTCTCGTGAAGACGGAAGCCGAGACGCACGTAAAGATCTCTGAAACGTACGAGGAAGGGAGGTTCAGTTTTGCTTTTGTAAATTACAGTAGGTTTTGTTTGTGCTTCTGTTGAATGAGTTGAATGAGGGGATTGAGTGACATGAGTCAGGAGTTGAATCGGCTGAAGATCGAGCACACTGAAGCCGAGAGGGAGTACCAAGACCAGGAGAGTTGGAGATAGGGTTGAATCAATCGGTTCTCATGCACCAAGTTTGTGGCAGCTGCTGCAATAGCAGTGCAAGCAAGCTACAGAGCTGTAGTGTCTCGAGAACTGGCAGTTGGTTCTGAAGAGCTCCAGAGGCACACTTCATAGAATCTGTGCATGCCTTCGCAAGTGTTGACCATTTTCATGTATTGATAATTCACAGAGCGCCCCAGTCTCCTTTTGTTGAAACGCTTCAAGCGGCGCTTCTTGTTTCGTGGTGATGCACTGACAAGTAGGCGGCGATAGAGACAATTTTGCAATCACTTTCATTGCTGAAATAATCTGCAGACTTTCTGGAATTAATATTCCCAATTCCTTTCTCATGATGTACATGCTTTTCGTTTCAGGACCCTGAAGACAGGAAAAGAAGTTTTACAACTTCACTACAATAGGGTCAGGTGCATAAGCCACCTTGCAGGAGTGGAACCTGAAAAGATGTGCAGATTTTCCGTGCTGGCTTTGACGCAAACAACGTTACTTCAGAAGAACAATATTAATATATATACATATATATATATATGGGTGCTCGCTGATTAGGCTTAGGGGGTCCCTTGAAGTACCATTAACATAAACAATGAGAGTCACACACACGCACAAGTCAAGAAGTTGCTACCGCTCGAACTTTGTTGTGACTGAAAACCAGTTGTCTGCAACATAAAGCCAGAAGACACCCAAAAAGCAAACAAATCATGATCTGGAAACTATGCCCAACCCTAAAGCCAGAAAACACAAAATAACAATGATCTGGAATCTATGCCCAATCCTAAAACCAGAAAACACAAAAACCAATGATCTGAAACTATGCTCAACCGAAGCCAGAAAACAAAAGAACAATGATCTGGACACTATGCACAAAAAACAATGCGACTGCCTTAAGCAGAGTGGCAAGTTGAACACCAAGCAAGAATGCACTTTGTTTATCGTTGTCAACCTCTAGTTATTGAAGCATAATTGTTTTCACATTCTTCAAGGTAATAATGTCATTACCAATATGACAAATGCATTAGAGCTTGTCATTGAAAACACATGATTGTGATTTGGTATACTCCCTGCACATCAATAATTCCCTACTTCATATTCATGTTTTTCCCAAACAGCTTTGCTGTGAGGGGTTCTCAATTCTTGCATAGAAACGATGCTGGGCCAAGATGATTCCCGCCCTTTGTTTCCCCTTGTCTCCCATGGCGTGTCTGGATGCTGGGCTGAGATGATTTTGCTTTGTCTCCCCTTGTCTCCCATGGTGTGTCTGGATGCTGGGCTGACATGATTTTGCTTTGTCTCCCTTTGTCTCCCCTTGTCTCTCATGGCATGTCTGGATGCTGGGCCGGGATCACTTTGCTTTGCCTCTCCTTTCCTTGTCTCCCATGGCATGTCTGGATGCTGGGCTGAGATGATTTTGCTTTGTCTCCCTTCCTCTCCCCTTGTCTCCCATGGCGTGTCTGTATGCTGTGCTGAGATGATTTTGCTTTGTCTCCCTTTGCCTCCCCTTGTCTCCCATGGCGTGTCTGGATGCTGGGCTGAGATCTTTTTGCTTTGTCTCTCCTTGTCTCCTCTTGTCCCCCATGGCATGTCTGGATGCTGGGCTGAGATGATTTTGCCGACCGCCGCTGCTGTTTGGGGTTGATGCTGGTGTATTTTTTGCTTTACAGTTTCTTAATCTGACTTGATACACGTTTACAAGTCGTATTTCTGAATACCTTGATGGTGAAAGCATCACAAAGCACTATGTACTGTAATGCCAGCACGCTTCAGTTTAAAGTAGGCTTTACACATTGAAAACATGGTGGTGTAAAGCAGGCTCTTTGATATATTTGTATCCACTTTGTAATGGTGCCTTATCCTTCAAATACCGTAATATGCTTCCTGTTCAATGTTCACGTGATGCATGGCAACTATGGTTTCCCTCGCTTTTCTTATTCAACTTCTTCCCAAGTCACTACACTTGCACATATATGAGCTAACGCCCTCGGAAGTAAAGACGAAACGAGGGGGAACGACTTTCTTCGTAGGCTTTGGGCTCACAGCTGATGCAAGCGTGTCGGTTGTGTGGTTTCCTAACTGGAGAGAGTGTTTCGACTTGTCCCTTTTGCCGAGCCAACAATCGTTTTTGGAACACCCTGGGTCGATTTCCTGCCAGGGCTCGCGGCTGGGCTTTGAACTCCCTGAGGGTTTGGACAAGCGTGCTGGAGGAAGAGCTGGAAAGGGTGAGCGAGGCAGAAGCTCGACAGCAAGCCGCTGAGCAAGGCAGCGACCCCCAAGAGCAAGGGGGACAGAAGGAGGCTGGACTGTGTGAAGTCGAGGTCCAAGAAGAAGGGAAGACTTCGAGTGGATCAAAGGTCGCAAAGGAGGAGAAGAGAGAGAGAGAGAGCGGCGCAAGAGGAGCAGGAGCGAGAAGAGAAGGGACAGGTCGCGCAGCAAGACGCGGAAGCAGAACCCATCGCCCGAGAGAAGTTGAAGAAAGCCAAGCCCTCAGTGAGACCACCAAAGACCCCGTCTACGTCTCCATCATGGGTAAGGAGAGGACCGCCTCCTAGCCTAAAACTCTTCCAGTGGAAAGAAGAGAAGGAGCGCCGGCGCCGATCGCGCATCCCACTGGCAGTCAGTCGCGTGTGGCAAAGGCAGCCCCAGTAGTGGGGAACAAACAAGGCCAAGGGAAGGAAGAAGAAGGAGGCCCAGTACCTCTTCCTCAAAGCTTCAATGGCACCAAAGAGGAGACCAGCTGCAGCAGTTCTTTACGGGCGTGTTGGAAGAGCTAGGCCAGGAGACGGTCGAGAGCCTTTAGCCCCAGGAGAATGGGGAAAGAGGGCAGGACATCGAGCTGGAGGTGGAGTTGCAGGGCGCAAGTACAGAAGCGATCCTGCAGTGGGTTAGTGGAGCAGCAGTGAAGATGATGAGGCTGCATCTTTGTGGATACAAGTGCCCGGATCGACTGGATGCTGAGGACCTGTCGTGGATGATGAACCTGGTGGACGAGGAGAGGGGCAGAGCAGGAGGCCACCCCCCAGAGCCGCCTGGGGAGAAGAGCAGAGCAGAGGAGAGGAAGAGAAGGATCGAGAAAAGGAAAGAGGCCGCAGCAAAGAGAAGGGCCAAAGAGCAGCGGCGAAGAGAAAAAGAAGGATGGAGGCTGCAGGAAGATCTTTGAGAGGGGAGGCAAGAAAGAGCTCCCTCGGATCTATCGGGGGAACGGCGATCGACCCCGATCTTCGCTACAGGTGGAAATTTGCAGCCAAGGCTGCAAAAGAGGTGAAGAAGAAGCGCCGGAGCTCCTTGAGCAGCGGGCCCAGCGGCAGCGGCGACGAGAGCATCGAGCCCTGGAGCAGCGTGTGCGCAAGATGTGGAAGGTGGCGCCAGGCGCCTTGACAGCGGCGGCTTTCTGAGCCGGCAGACGTTTGCGCTGTCCTTACCATAGGCCTCTTCGACGGGATCGGAGCTTTGAGAGTCGCAGCCGACGATGGTCCGGTCATGGGCCAGTCGGTTCTCTTCTATTAGTCATGTGCGACGCATCAAGGAGTTGATCAAGCGCCACTTTAGCCTTGGGCTCAGGTGAAGTATCTGGCTGAGAGCGCAGCCTCAATGGATAGGTGGACCGAGGGATCATGTCAGAAGACTTTCGCGATTGGCCTGTGATGATTGACTCAAGTGGGGTTTCTCTAGCCCGAAGACCACGACTCTATCGGATGGATTGAGGAGTTCGTGTTCACCTCTAAAAATGGCTTCCGAAAGTTTTGGGTCTAGTGAGCTCGACGCCCAAGTGGATGCCCAAAGCTACCTCGCTCCGGCGTGCAAGAAGGTAAGGCGGCCCAGGTTTTTCCCAGGACGACGACCAGCGGGACTCGACAGGTTGACTGCTGAGGAGAAGCAGGGTTGGACGCAGGACAAGTTCCGATTTCCACCTTACCAGTATTCCCGTCGCCTCCTAGACCATCCGACGGACGGCGAAGCAACGGCATGGGAGTGAGGCGCGTGAGGAAAGAAAGAGCCCCATAGGCAATATGTGGAATGTGACGGTGATCCTGGCACGCCTGGCGAGCGCATTGTAGGGCTGTGTCCGAGGCAGAGCCCCCAGGACGCAGTCGAAGCCACGCGACCTGGGGTCCGTGCCATTGGAGGAGTGCTGCAACGCCAAAGCATGAAGCGTTCTCAACGAGAAGGAGAGCGAGGGGAGTGCGAGCTAGTTGCCAAACCCCTAAGCCTGGTTAGTTTGAAGGGAGAAGACATCATGATCCAAGCCCCCAGCGCAGAGACGCAATACCATCGCTCGCGCGTCAGTTTGCCAGCTGCCCTATGGTCCTCAAGAACAGTGATGGGATGGCGTTGGAGAATCCGGTCCAAGTTCATCCACATGGTTGACAGCCTTGTCTGTCTCCATTCGCTATCCAGGGGCAGAAGTAGTAGTAGAAAACTACGCCACGCCATCAGCCACGTCAATGCCTTGTTACTCGCCTCGGGCTGCCATGGGGGTATGGGCCTGCGTCCATACTTGGCGAAAGAAATTCGCTCATTTTGGCCTGCGGGACCACTCCTTTCGT